TGTTAACAAACGTTTCACGTCAGGCTTGAAGCCCTGCTGTTCGCTCTAGTGGGTTCTAATGCCACCTCTAAGCCAGAATATAAATAAAATGGAAACAACGTAATGTATCAATCACAACAACAGCCAGACCTGAGTCATTTGTTGATACTGCTTCCAAACCACTTTGAAAACCACTCACAATGAGTAAAGGTCTTGGGTTTCATCAGTAGATTGTACTGGGATTTAGTTTATTTCTGATTAAAAAGAAGGGCAGTTATTGGAAAAAAGAGGGAGTTGTTTATACACAATATATGTATTTGATTTTCATTGTTTTTATGAACAAGAGAAAGACTTGTGTCCACAATAATTTGGAGATTAGGCATGAGCAGATTCACTTCTGGCTTTTTGGAGGAGAACAGTGCTCTGGCTGCTCGGAGCCAGGTGCTGGTTGTGCAGGCAGATCTGCCAGTGCAGAGGAAGGACGCTGCTGTTCAGCACATGGCCTTGTCCTCACAAATCTGACTGCAGCACAGGTCTGATGGGCAGCACACATTAAACACACAGCTGATCAAGTGTTACAAACTCCAACCACCCTGACGTGCACAACACAGAAATGGGACAAAACTTCAACTATTTACCTGCCCCCTCTCATGTCCCACAGCCTTTGGTTGGATGAAACACAACAGTCCTTTGGGCATGTTTCATCCTTGGTTTTGAAGAAAAAACAAAACATTTTTGAGCTCAGCTGGGCTTGCACTGTATAATTACTGATCATGTGAAGCTTGGGATTTCCAGAGTGGACTGCTCAGATATTGGCTGATATTGATAGGGGAGGTAGGTGATATTTTCATTGAGAAAATGGCTGGGTGGCTAATATGACCTGCAACAGCTATTAGAACAAAAATATATCCAATAGTGCTAATAGTGCACAGAACTTCACAGGAGAGAAGTTTTGCACTTTGATTCTCTACAGAAGGTGAATATGGTAGTTCTATGGAAATAGAACAGAACTAATTTGCCTAGTATTTCATCTGAACATGGAAATATTACATAAAATTATGAGGCTGATAAAAAACAGTTAAAACAGTCCTGCAAGAGTCCAGAGAGTGTATGTATATTGGGCCAACAGAACATAGAAAATCAATACAGGTTTTGTAGGTTTTTCTATTTGCTTAGGATGTGGCTCTTCTAATGTACAGGTTATTTTCTCAAGACATGTATATTTATGTGTGGTTACATACATAGAAGCATCTTTATAATCATGAATAACAAAAAACAAAGTTGTGGAAGAATAGCTAAAAAGTGCATCCACATCAACCAGCTAATTGAGAAACTGATCCTGGGTTCACTGAAATGAATGTGTGCTCCTGGGTCCATCTCCACTACATGGACTACAAGATGACTTTGAACAAAATTTCTGGAGCTAAAAGAACCAGTGCTGTGCATCTGCATGAACCCTTGCTAAGCACTGGGTGGATCAAGCACAGTCTAAGTCACTATAAACTCTTTTCATGCTTTTAAACATTCTGATACTTTTTCAACATCCTTGCTCAGAATCAGGGGAAAGCACTTCCCCTTGAATGTCACTGGTGTTGTGCCTGAATGGTCTGCACGCCTGGGCTCCTCCAGCTGAGGATGTACAAATCATTCCTGAGAAAGGCAGAACCCACATCTTCATACTGAGGAGTTCTAGCAGAGTAAAGAGGAATGTCACAGCACATGCCACAGCTGAGACAGCCGCAATACACAGAGCATCCCCATACAGTTTCAGCAGGCTTTAAGCATTCACCCACACACAGTAACACCTCACCACACCAGAAGGCTTCAGGACCCTGCCCATACAGAGTAACACCACACCACTTCAGAAGGCTGCAAGCATTGCCCTTCCTGTTCTTTAGCCCAACCTTTTATCCCCTCATGTTGATGCCCTGCACCTGTGTGCCCTCTGCTCCCTTGGGGTTGGTCAGTGCCCCTGGGCACTCCATGGCTCAGTGCTGTCAGTGCTGCCCACCTGCTGCTCACAGCTGTGCCCACTGGGGAGGAGGCTCAGCCACAGCCCCACTCCCAATGACCACAAACTGTGTGCCTACACAGGAACCCAGTACTTTTAAATGGTGCACAAAACTTAGAAGTGGTGACATTTCTATCAAAACATTAGTATGGACAGGATACCTTTCAAAGACCTAATTGAAAAGATTTAAGAAAAATCCCCTGTATCAAGAAGTGCCATCAGTTTTTTCAGTGCGTGTATTGTCTGACAGTCTGTCTGGTTAGTAACACCTACAGCTCATGCACAGAAGTGCTAACATTAAGAATTATTTTGAGGATATTTTCTAGCTACAAACAGTTGCACTGCTTGATTCTCCTGATATTGATCACTGGTGCTAAGCTTTGGGGAAATATTTAAGGACAAGCTTCACTTCAGTGTCTCAGGAGGTTTATTAGCTTAGCATTTGGGATTTGCAGGGGTTGGTCCAGGCTCAGCACTCATTGAAGTGATTACATGGTGCAGCTGGCAACTCACACGTGCCTTTCCACCTACCCACTGCCTGAGTGACACTGTGTGCCAGCACCAAACAGGGATCAGCCTGCTGCTAAACTGTGCAAAGACTAAACTGACTGAAAAAAGAGCAAGGTCTTTATCTCTGGAAAAGCCACAGAATAAAGCTTTCCCTTGCTTTCCATTCTAAAAACATTATTGTGGCTTCAGAAAGAAATAACTCTTATGAGAAGTCAGTGAATCTGGAAAATATTAGAAATTGTAATGAAATAAGTACTGCTCTGACTGCTTTCTAACTGGCTAAAAATGACAGCAAAGGGGGAAAAAAAGCATTAGTGCTCAATGTGTCCATCCGAAGTACCACTGGAATAAAGAGTACAACAAAGTCACCAGCCCTTTTACATCCACTGCTTGGTTTGAGGCTTTTTGAGGAAAAACAGCACGTGTCTCTTTCACTCTGGATCTGATCAAGAGAAGCCTCAGAATAAGAGATACTTAGAATTCAGAGAGTTGAATTTTTCTCCAACTGCAAACCAAAACGTATGAATAATGCTGTTATTTGCAAGGCTGGTGTAAACCTGGAAGAAGTCCACAAAGACGTGGGAACCGAGGAGTTCTGCCTCCTGTGTTCCTGCGACTGAATCCAGCTAAGCCACGTTTGTTCACAACAACAACATTACAAGGATTTTTTTCCTCTCAGAGGGAGATTTTTTGCAACATTACACAAGCTTATAAGATGAAAACTTTATGCTATGATGGGCAACCTGATCCAGGATCAAAATCAGCCTTGCTCTGAGCAGGGAGTTGGACCATATTCCCTCTGAGATCCCTTCCAGCCTAAATTGCTCCGTTCTGTACTTCTGTGATTGGATAAGTGGGGCTCAATTAATGAGTGAGAGAGTTGAAGACTCCAGAATAAATTCATATTCTTGATGTTGTGCCTTGATAAAAAGATTGTGATATGAACTTTCCTTTAAGAAAAAAATCTCTATGTTCTGTATGAATTACACTGAAGATGTAATGATATAAAATGCAATAGTTTAGTACTGCTTTGGTTAGAAACGTCAAGAAAGTGATACAAGTACAAAAAATAATAGTCTCTGATAACACAATATGAAAAGAGCATCAGTATGGGTCAAACCAAAGACCATTCACCTCAGGTCCCGCTGGTGTGGATGCCTTGGAAAGAGTGTAAGAACAGACAAGAATTTACATGCCCTGTCCCTAGCTCTTGGCCTCCACTGTTGCCAGAGAAGGGCCAGAGAAAGCAGGCTGAGAGCTGAGCATGGCTACATCTTAATGTTATTTTCAAGACTGCAGTAGGAGGTACAAATGTTATGTTTTTAAATTAAAATAACTTCAATTGATTTGCTTTAACTAACAATTTGCTTTCAAGCCCTACTCTGCAGACATACATGCTGAAGAAAACAGTGGGCAGTTCTTTAGCAAGGAAAAACCTCTAGACAGGTGCACAAAAACTACACGGGGATATGAAGTTAGTCTAGATATTTGCCAGGTCAGGGAATACAGCTGTGTACATCAGGAAACTAGAGCAAGGTCAGCAGAGGCCAGTGAGATGGTTGGGAGCTGGATCCCTGAGGATGCAGGGCTTGCTCAGCCTGATGAAAACAGACTTTGGGGGACCTGGCAGGGCCCTCCAGTATCTACAATCAAGTCATCAAGTCATCAAGATGGCAAATTTGGACTCTTCATGGTTGCACATGGTGGGAAGACAACAATATAAATATAAACAGGAGAGGTTCAGACTAGGTATAAAGAAAATGTTTTTTCCTCAGCAGCCAACAAGCATGAGAGCAGGCTGTCCACTAAAGCTGGACAGTCTCCATCCTTTGAGGTTTTCAAGAGTAGGCTGGGTAAAAGCCTGGACAACTGCATTTGGCCTCATCAATCACGTCAGCTGGAGCAGGAGGTTGGACAAGGGTTGTCCTGAGGCTCATTCTAAGCTGAATTATCCTACAGTCTTTTGACTCCCAGTTCATGGTTTTCAAAGCACCTACGGCATGTTTTCTCTCTGGCCTGATCCTTTGATGTGGGAACTACTTTAAAATAAATAGGTCAATCAGAGTGTGGGTCCACCTTGCTTTTTACAAGAGTATGCATGGTGTAATGCTTTTATCCTTCACAGCTACCAAATCCTTAGTCCTGCAATGGTTTTCCTAACAACAGTATGGGATGTCGCATAGATTTTAACTAAAATCAGAGACAATCTGCTATTTCAGAGTGAGCTGGTGCAGTAAGCTCTTCTAAGGTTTCACTTATACTTTGTTTACCCAAGGTGGTCGTATCAAAGTCCAAGGAATGACCCAAGCAGGAAACAAGCGAAGGCAGACACACCCTCTGTGGACTTTGTTTCTCCAGTAATACTTTCTCTAGGCTGACACGCCTCTGCTGTGCAAGCAGATGGATCTTATTTGCTGTGATATATGAAGTTTTACTGAAGCTGCATGTTAGCTCTTGTTTGAAAGTGTAACATGAAAAGTAGTCTTTATAAACAAAACTAATATTTTTCATTCATTTTAACAATGTGTTCTGACAGGATTTGATATACACTCTGGAAAAACCCATGCTTTCAGTCATACTCTCGGCTCCTCTGCACCACCAGAAACTCAGAGTCACGGCCGTTCGTCACCGCCGAACTTTCTGTCTGGAGGCCGGCGTCTGGTGGCGCGGGAGGCGCAGCACGGCCCCCGCTCCGTCCCCGCCGCTCGCCCCCCGTGCCGCAGGGAGCGCCGCGGTTTGCGGGGCCTGCCGGCTCCTCCCTGCTTCCCCAGGATCGGGCACTGCCGTGAAATAGCTGCGAGGAGGGGGCGATGCGAAGGGCTCCCCCCGCCAGGGCGGCAGCGCGTTCCCATGGTGACGGCGTCCTGGCAACCGCTCCCGCTCCCGCAGCCCGGCCTGCGGCGGCCGCCCCGCTCCCAGCCGCTCCCATCCCATCCCATCTCATCCCATCCGCTCCGCGCAGCCGGCCGGGAGGGCGGGCGGGCGGACGGAGCCCCGGCGGTCACGGCGCGGGGGAACGGCCGCTCCCGCGGCGGCAGCGCGCCCGGAGCGGAGCGGAGCGGAGCGGGGCTCGGCTGGCGGCGGGGGTGCGCGGGAGCGGCGGGCAGCCCTGCCCTGCCCTGAGCCAGCACCGGTGAGTGAGCGCAGAGGCTGTCCCGGCTCTGTCCCCCCGTGTTGCATGGCCATGGAGTGGTGTCTGCACCGCGGTGTCCTGTCGGCTGTCGCACACCCGTGTCCCCGCAACCTTCGCCGCGCCCACCGGTGACCCCCGCACCGCGGGGCCTGGACCCCCGGCGGGGCCGAACGGCGGGCAGGGCAGGGCAGGGCAGGGCAGGGCAGGGCAGGGCAGGGCAGGGCCGGGCAGGGCAGGGCAGATCGCTCCGCCGCGATTCCCCCGCTCACGGGTGTCGGCACGGGCCGGCACCGGGGCCGCTCGCATCTGTTTCTGCAGAGGGCCCCCGGCCTGGCTCGGAGCCCCCCGGCCGGGCTCGGAGCCCCGGGCTCGGTCACCGCGCTGCCGGCGCAGCCCCTCCGGCTCCCATCGCGTGTTCCCGAGTGCCACAGCCGCGCCCGGGGCTCGGCACGGCTCTGGTTCTCCCGGCGCTGCCGGGCTCTGACCCATCCCCTTGCCGAGCTGCAGCACGGGGACTTTTCCGCTCACTCCGGAGCGTTGCCCCAGCGCACTTCAGAGTAACACTGGGAAGCATCTGGCGGCTGCCGGGGTGGTGCCGTCACACGCTCCCTGTGCAGCAACCAAAGCGGTTTCTATTTTAAGAAGGAACGAGTGATTAAAGTGTTTGCCGAGGCAGGTATTTCAGTCTGCTTTGATTCCCGTGTGACTTGCGGCAAGTCACATAGCCCGCCCCGTGCTTCACTTCCCTACCAGCAACAGAAGGAAATTGTATTTTCAGGGATAATAATGCTTCCTACCTCACAGGCATATTGTGAGAATGAATGTGAAAAACACTCCGAGGTGCGCAGACATTACAGAATTAGTTGTAGATTATCATGGAAGATAGGAAACTGAACACTACAGGTATGATTATCCTTCAAAGCAGGAGAAATGGAGATCCCACAGAAAATAAACATGCGAGGCAGTCTGAGAAGTGGTGAAGGGATGCCACAGCACAAATAGCAAGGAGTGAACTGCACATTGCCAGAAGCACCTCTTCATCACATCCCATGGATGATTTCTCTTTTTTTCAAGCTTTTACACATCTTATGTCAATGATTTAAGGAAACAGTAAGGAAGCACTGCACATTTGTATGGAAAACCTGCCTTAAGTATCAAGTGAACTGTTATTTTTGGTAATCAGATATGTAGTTTCCAAATCGGAAAAAACTTGTATCTTGTCCATGTGCAAGTATATTGAGAATATTCAGTAACTTAAATCAGTCAACCTAAATTTACTGGGTTAATACATCATGACTTAAATTGCTCATAGCAGTATAAAGCAGGAAACTACATTATTTAAAAAATAATAATTAGGCACCTGTAACCCATATTTCAACTGGTATCTTACTCAACCCCAGTTTACTGCCATTGAAAGAGCCACATGAAATTATACTCCTCTTATAGAACACTTTACAGTTTCTATTTACTAGTGTAAGTTGGTATTACTCTCATAAAGAAGGAATTTGCCATTAGTTCTAACATCTATTTGTTAATTGCAAATATCTCCAAACTGCAGCAAAGCTTTGTACAACGGCCAAGCAAAGTCTTAGACCCTTTCTGGCTGTTGGATCAGATCAAGAAATCTGATATCTGATGATATGCTTCACTGTGTACTGAGCAAAGACAAATGAATGAGAAGTTCATTTGTGTAACTTTTGTTTCATATCCACACTTACTCCAGATATTTGCATTTAGCTGCATTTCTTATGGTAGACTGGCAGAAAGAGTTGACTTCATGCAAACCTATGCTTACCTTGCTGCAAACATTATTTTCTAATTGATAATAAATGGGTACTGAAGGCTGTGAGACTAGAGCACTGCTTGGCTGGTTTTATAAGGTGTATTTCACTAAATTTCACTAAGATGCTGCTAGATGTATGGACTCTAATATTTGTTCTTTGTTTTTCTAGGTAGGATCCAGAGCTTTGCTGCTGCAGTGCACATATCTCTTCCCAAATCTGTGGGATAATTCCTGTGTTTACAGCTAAATTATGCTTAAAAGCTTCAATGCATCAAGATGGTTAAGATGTGCTAAGGCCCAGAGGTCTCAGGCACACTGAGAACTGGGTGCCTGGTGGTGTGACCTGCTGCAGTCTCGTGGTGTGACCAGGAGGGACCCCTCGCTGAGTGCTGGCACTCCTTAAAAATCCAACAGCTGGGAAATGATGAGTGTGAGGAACAGACTGCAGGACTGGACATTCAGTGTCTGTGCAGGACTTTGAATGCAGAAGTCACCACAATGACCCCCATCTCTTATACTGTGCTTTTTACTTATAGCCATGTAAGACCCTAAACAAGGAGGTAGGTATGGTTATCTCTCTTACATGTAGGGAAACTGAGTCATTACTCATGGAAATAACTTGTCCAAAGCCAACAGGATCAGAGATCAAGCAAGGAATTCAATTCAGAGCTTCTGAATTCCTGTCTGGTGTCACTGCTGCTCAGCAACCCAGCTTCTCTTAAAACTGTTTTTTTTCTAATTTGTAGTTTCTGAAGCACCATGCTATAAATAGAACACACACACTGTGACAATGTTTGCTCTCTGCTTTCAGGCAGTGCTTTCATACATTTCTAAAGCACAAACATGCTTTGCATTTTGAGATCTCAGAGGGTAGCCCTATTGCTCCTTCACTATCGATATTCGACTATTGTATTTCCATAACCCCATCTTTCTCAGATTGCACAGGATTTCATCAGCAATTGTGAGCTTCTTTTCATACACCAGCCTTTTTTTGCAGTGAGGATTTCAGGTTCCCAAGGAGATCAGGCTCAGGCCACACTACTTCCCTTTATACTTAAAAATGTTTTTTGTTTTATGTAGGGGAGATTTGTTGGATTTGATTGAGGCTAATATATTTTTAATTAATTTCTGTCAGTGGACAAAGCTGCTGAGCCAGGTACTGGTCTCACACTAAGACACTAAAATATCTTTCTGAAGCTATTTAATAGACCTACTCTGCTGCAATGTCTGCCACAGTCTGGCTGTGTCTAAAAAATAAAACCAGAATTTATATTCTTACCACAGAAGAATTTACTTACAACCTAAAGTGTGGCCATTTAGATTTGATGACAAATTAATACAAGACACAGTTTTGACAAACTATGCTGATGTCACACATTTTATTTTGGTTTCTGATTGCCAATGCTTTTATGAGAAAAACATCTTACCCCTAATAATCTGCTGTCATGAAACACTTGTATTTGATTCTTCAGTCAATATTTTCTTAAGTTTTATGATCACCCTGCAGACCTTACTTTATTATTAATTGATTAATTATATCAGAGACCAGTAGAAGATTGGGGACAAGAACTTTGTTTACCTCTGCCCTGCCAAACCAGTTCTGTGGGTCAACAGCAGATTTCAGTTTCAAGGCTGTCAACCCTATCTTTTCAAGAGTATCACTTTCACTATAAAAAGCTTTTTAGCAATTTTTAGTCTTCATTCTTTTGTATTAATTTTTATTTGCATTTATTGCATTAGCAATATTTGGATGCCAAGATCACCAGTATCAGCATAATATTACGCTTAACTTAAAGGTGCACTGAAAGCAAAAGCTTTAAGTAATTTCAGATATAAGCTACTCAATAATTCAATTTGTACTTTTTCAACAGACGTAAATTATTGACCAGAGAATGGCCCACCGAAGCCCAATCTTCCCAACTCTTGCCCCTTCTGAAAGGTACAGTCTGGAATATAAAACCAAATATCTTCATGACACAGAGTATTTATGTATCTCTTAATTCCCTATATACAGTAATGCTGTGACCTGGGACTTTGGCATTACTGTGCAATGCAAAGTGAAATAGCAGAGACATTCAAATCATAGCCCAAATGACAAGGCCTTACTCAGCTTTTACTTAGCCCTTTCCCAAAGAAATTCAACAGCTTAAATCTCACTGACTAGAAGTCCAAGAACACTTTAGCCAGTGTTCAAATAGCATGGAATGGGTTGTGAAAACACAGAGCCAAAAGTGACCTTTGCTGGAATCCTCCTACATCTCTATCAATAAGTCCTCTCTTTCAGCCTAGGTGGGGAAAACTCTATGGTGTTTTCACAAGGCCCTGGGGATTTCCCTGGAGGGTTCAAAGGATTCCATCACCATGGTCAAACTGAACTGCTAATTCGGCTCAATAACAGGAAAAAACATGAGAATACACAGTAAATCAGAGTTCCTAGACAAAAAATATCTCCTTTTCTGAAGTGGGGTTGAACTTGTATCTACTTATGCTTCTGAAAATGTTGTTATTCTTTACAGAACATAGTGGCAGGAAAAGATTGCATGCATTAGCAGACTCATTTCATTACTTTCAGCACCCATGAGCTCCACTGCATTCCATGGGAGCTGTGCAATGCAGAACACTCTTCAAAAATTTAGATAATTATTCAAGGTACCCGAATGTAAGCTATTTTGGGGGGAAATTTAACTCCTAAGACTATGAGAAACTTGTCATAAATTTGGTCTCACCTCAGTTTCTATGCCCACATATGCTCCTGTCCAAGGGGACAAGTTTCTGTATGGTATTACAGGCTAGCTATAGAGACAGAAAAGGGATTGACCAAGCTACTCCTTTTTAATTCTGATCTGGTTTCATTTAATTTACAATACCTACCTTCAACTGTTACAGTTTTGATTAAGCCGTTAAGCCTGAAAACTGTAAAGACAAATAACATTACTTTTAAAACTCAGTAGAAAGGGTTGAATTTGGATTGTTAATCAAATTATAGTTCTTATTTGTAACTACTTTTATTATGGTAATGTCCTTTCCTTAAGATTCCATGCTTTTGTAAGCTTCCTTAAAGGTCATGAGAAAAAGCCTGACCAGCCTTTGTACAAGACACATGGCCAACACAGCACCCACTTATTTGTAGCAGTGGACACTCTCTGGGTGTATTTTGGGGCTTCTCCCCAGCACTGCACATGCCAGTGTCATACTGCCTTCAGTGCAAATTGCAGAGTTTTGTGTGAGAACTTAACAAGATGTGGACATTCTTCCCCCCCAGACGGGTCCGAAACATCCCGCTGCACAGCCAGGCACTGACAGCGGTGCCGCTGGCATCCGCCAGCCTGGTGGATCAGCTGGAGGACAGAATCCTGAGCCATGAGAAAACAACAGCAGCTCTTGTGGAACACGCTTTTCGCATTAAGGAGGACATTGTTTCCACGCTGCACAGAATGCAGAACAAAGGGGGGGGTGACCGGTTGGCAAGGCAACTCCTGGAGGAGCACATCCGAAACATAACTGCGATAGTGAGGCAGCTCAACCGGGACATCGAGGTATGGCCGGAATGTGGCACAGCACTCGTGCCATCTCAGCTACTTACTGCTTCTCATTTCCTAACAAAGTTTACCACGGGATAAGTAAAGGTCAGACAAGGTCTGAAGATCCTATAAGCTTATAAATTGTTTTTACAACTTGAAAAAGTGTTTGCAAATTACATAATTCTTTCGGTGGCTATGAAAATAGCACAGGATATTAGCATATAAACACAGGAGCCTTTGTGGTTCTAATAAGCT